AGCCTTCTTCTGGGTCTTGTTATTCTGACTTTTTGACTCTCGCTAGCTGCAGTCTATACAATGCACAACTGTATTTGTTCACAAGGAATGCTTTGGTTCCTTTTGACTTTTTCCTTTCCACTTCCTAATGGTTTACATGTAGAAGCAGGGCTTTTGAAAAATTACCTAACACATACTATGTTTAATGAGTACATTTAAACATACTTCAGCTACAAATATTATCAGCTGATAATTTAACCTTTGTGGGTAGGCTAAATATTTTCTTCAACGCTTAAATAAATATGATACATGGTTCCTGTGGAAAGCCTAATGAGAAGGAAGTTGTTTTTAAATTTAAGTCAAGACTTCTCCTTCAATTTAGTTTATCAGTATTTTTTTCCAAGTGATCAAAGCAAGCAGTTTATATGGCAGCTCTAAATGTCTAAAAGAAAAATTAAGTACTAAAATATTAATTCTGCTGTACTTTATTTGGGGGATGGAAATTGCATGCCATCTGGGAGGACAGTCAAGAATTTGCCGCACACTATGAAGCACGTGGTGTGAGGTGAGAAGCCAAAATCCTACAGTCCTCAAGGTGGATTTAAATAATGAGAATCAAGATGTGGGTATGTCTTTCAGATGTCAATAAAAATAAAAGTTATATAAATGCCTAGCAGTTGTCCTGGCTCCCCTGAATGCCTCATGAATGAAGCCTCCCTTGAGAGCACCAGCCTTCATCCATCAGACTGGGTACATGGGAGTGGGTAACCAGCCTGTCAGTCATGTAAAAGGTACATGTGCACCTGTGGTGTCAATAGACACGGGCTGCAGCACTTTCAGACACCTCAGATTCAGCATGGGACCACATCATCCCTCCTGGCCCACTGCCCCAGCCTGAAGTAGGTTACTGGTGCTCCACAGACATGAGATGCAGGTGATGCAAGGTGAGGGGCTGGCTCAGAGCACCTCACATCTGAGACTTGAGCATGTACAACAAATGTGCTCACATGCGTACAACACCACATAAATCCCAACAGCAGGTATTCACGTAACACTTGCAGTTAACTGGAGATGGGTGACCTGGGGCTAGCCAAAACAGGAGGCTCCTTTGGGGCGCAGATCTTTTGATGAGACATTCCCAGCCCTGCTCCTCAGTGCAGCAGCACGAACTATCAAAACCTTCTATAGAATGACAGAATCAGGGAATGGTTTGGCTTGGAAGGGACCTTAAAGATCATCTAGTTCCAACCCCCCTCCCATGGCAGGGACACCTTCCACTAGACCAGGTTGCTCAAAGCCCCATCCTACCTGGTCCTGGACACTGCCAGGGATGGGGCAGCCACAGCTTCCCTGGGCAACCTGTTCCTTTGCCTCACCACTCTCAAAGTGGAGATCTTCTTCCTAGTATCTAATCTGAATCTAACTTTTTTCAATTTAAAGTCATTCCCCCTTATCCTACCATTAAAGGCCCTGGTAAGAAGCTCCTGTCCAGCTTCCTTGTAGGCCCCTTTAGGTAGTGGAGAGCTGCTGTAAGGTCTCCCCAGAGCCTTCTCTTCTCCAGACTGAACAACCCCAGCTGTCTCAGTCTGTCTTTATGGGAGAGGTGTTCCAGCCTTCTCTGACCATCTTCATGGCCCTTGTCTGGACTCACTCCAACATCCTTCTTCTTGAAACCAAAACAAGATACGCACACAGAAATCACCCAGAAGGAGTACAGGAAAAAACTTGGTCTTTACTCTGGGGCTGAATGAAGGAGAATGTAAGAACACACTGACGTCATGAAAGAAAGAAGTTGAATAGGTCAAGAAGCAGAGATGTGAGCTCAAGGAAATGGCAAGGCACACAAGGAAAGATAAGGGAGATTGTATAAATAAATAAGCCTACAGAAAGGAGCTGAAAGCACTGTGAACAAAGCCTTACTCTCTAGCTCGGGTTCACAGTCCTTGTTCAGCCTGAGAACCCCTAGAAGGTTTCAGAGGAGGAGTGAACCCTTTTAGAAATCTCATGTACGGACATCACTGTATAGCACCTACAATTTGTTTTCCTTTGTTGCCTTTTGCAGACTGAGCAGAGGGGATCCGCAAACATCTCCATTCTCTCCTGGAGTGCGCAGACCCTCAGCTGGAAGGAGTCCTACTTTCATATTTAAGAATTGAAAGAAGCAAAACAGGTAAAAAAAAATAAATAGTACAAGCAAGGCTGGCCTAGCATGCTTTTTGCACCTGGATCTCTTCAGAGGGCAGAAAACAGAGAGGTAGCTGAAGTATTATTAGTTCAGCTGTTACTGGAAGCATATGTCACTTCTGCTCATAAGCTGAAAATTAATGAGTGTACTTATAAAGTTTTAATTATTGATCTTATCTCCTGAGTGTAAACTTCATCTAGCCACAGGGAATTTTCTCTTCACTGTGGAGATAGCTGTTACAGGCATGCAATAATCATGGAATAGGTTTGTATCTTTTCCACTGTGGTTGCTTTAATTTGCAGTGACATTTGTTAGATCATGTATTTAGAACCACAATAATTTTTACATCTTGTGTGCCAAAAGCAGATACATACATCTTACCTGAAGCTGGGATGGCAGTGCTAGCAGATGCATCCTAGCCAGCACCAAACCCATATACTCACTGTGCTTTATCATTATATTGAACTTGATCCAAGGAAGTAAATTATAAGCCAATTTATCTTTATTTATATTGATCAACTGAAACACGTGTCAGCAGAAAAGGCAACACATGCTCTACAAACTCACCAGTGTCAGGTTGTGTTGGTGGTTTGCTGGCCCCTATGTGTGCCTTCACACCTCCTAGTCCTTGAATTAGCTGAAGTCTGCTCCATGGACAGTTCAAGGGAAAATACAAGTATAACAGACTAATTTGCACCACTTGACTTAGAAAGTATGATGAGGTGCAGAAGTGGTTAACACACAGGATGTGGTATGCTGGGCCTCGCATCACTACTTCTTGATGCTCACACACAGGACAACCCTGAGAAGAACTGTCAAGCTGAAAGTACATACCAGAAATCATTCTGCAACAAGCTTGCAGGCTCGGTAGAATCAATGCGCTATGTTTCGGGTATATGGAAAACAACATCATGGGCTTAGTACTACTGGGATTGGACTTGGGCAGCAGATTTTCATTGCCTCTAATTCAAGACAACCTGAGTTGTCTTGAAAGCTGTCTCCTTGTAGGCTACACAAAAAAAAAAAAAAAGGTTATTTGTGCTATAAATGTCTTCTAGGCTCCATGGAGTAAATCCCTGGTTTGGAAGTGTTTTGAGGGAAGGAACAACTAAAAACACAGAAACAAGTTAAAACTGGAACAAAATGCAACATAACCCTAACAAAAGCAGCTTCTGCCTGTCTAGTAGAATACTTTTATCTGATTTTACAGACAAAGGAAGTATGGGAAGATGTCATTTATCTGGACTAGAAAAAAGCATTTGATACCCTGCCAGATGGAAACTATTAGTTCAAGTAGGGAAAGTGGGGATTAAGATAAGAATTGCAAAGTAGTTAAGGAATTGGCTGAAGGGGAGGTGACAATGGGTTGAGCTGAAAGAAAGAAAATCCCTAGCAGAGTTTTGCAAGAGTCACTATCAACCCTATTCATTTCCTTAACAATTTTGGCACAAAAGATTTTCTAATGGAACTTTCTGATGGCTGAGGTTGGGAAGCTTTGTTCATACTGACAAACAGCAGAATTTTACCTAAGAAGAGCCAAATAGTCTTCAGAAGCAATAGACATGAAGGGAAATTTTACTATGTAAGATAGAAGTGTGTGCACTTAAGAAGTCAAGAGTAAGAGCGTGTGCTAACCATGTACATGACAACAAGCCAGCAACATGGCCTGACCACTGGAAAAGGTAAATGTCACTTAGAATGAAGTAAAGTATTTCTACTACAGGAAGGATAATATTACTGAAATCAATAAATGTCAGATACTGGCAAGACCTCATCAAGAAGACCATGCCCAGTTTTGGTCACCATGGCTATGTGTGTGCTGCTAAATGAAAACATGCCAGGGATTGCTCTCTGGCTTTGAGGCCAAGCAGCATGGAGCAGAGCATGTCTAAACCTCTAAACTCTCCCACCTTCTCCAATAAGTCAAGCTCACATTGCCTTTTAGGAATGGTCCCTGGCCTTTGCTAGCTCCAAAACCAAGCCCAAACATTTCTTGGGAGACTGCTAATTAGTACAGGCAAAACCCATGCAGACAGTAAATCGTGTGCTGGTGTCTCTGGCCTAGTCTCTTTCTCTGTTTAGTCTTCTAGGGTGGACCTACCACAGTGTGTCCAAAATTTGTGCTGGATTAATGCATGCTGAAGAGGAAGGCTACTAGGAAGTGGGGAAAACTGGAGAGCATCTTACAGGAGGAGATGAGAAGCACTTGAATCATCTAGCAACAGAGAAGCTGAGAAAGTAGATGACTGGCATAAATAAGAAATAGGGGACAAATATTTAAACCAAAAGACAACACTTGATGTGAGTAGATTAAGAAAATCATAACAAGCTTATGCATTCATCCCGCAGGGCAGATTCCATAACTTGGATGTGTCCTCTCTCTTCAGACTTCTTCTGTAGGGAGAAATTATGTTTATAAATCCAGCTTGGAGTTGAAACACCTTCTGCTTTTTCAGAAATATTACTGAACACAGTATATTCCCATTAAAACAAAATGTTTTCAAAAACAACAAAAAGGATTAAAAAAAAAAAAAAGAAAAGTATCTTCTAGCTGCCAGACTTTTTCCATTCACCTATAAAAGCCATCAGGGAAAAAAGCTGCTATTTGACATTTAAAGAAGAGCTCTTCCTCTGTGATGCACTGTGGTGCAGTTGTAAGGGCGTAGTCACACATTTGCTAAGTAGGCTGTAGTTATAGTTTTCAATTTCCTAGAGGCAACACTCCCCTTCACCTACCCAAACCCAAGTCTCCTATATGGCAGTGTCACGGGCTGTTGCCATGCCAGCAGCCAGCCACTGATCTTTTTTGAGAACAAAGGTGTACTTATTAAGAAGATTAAACTGGTGACACCATTTATCCACATGCCAGACACTGAGGATATAGCATCCCCATGCCCCTTGTGAATGACAGTAATCTGACCTTGCCTGACCACGCTCTTCACAACAGCACAGTTTCTCCTTAGCCACAACTGGAGCACGGATGAATTGTACTTTATTCACTGTAAAGCACTAAGACTCCATGTCTCTGTACAGAACTATCTGAATATTTCCTCAAAGTTTACCAAATGTTTCCCTGTTCCCAAGCCACAGAGAAGTGGTGAGCAACAGAGGGCTGAGGGAATCCCTGCGGCTGCAGTCTCCAGAGCCCTGTGAGGATGACTTCTCACACTCCATGAGCCTGACCAAAAACCTTGCCAGGCTGGGAGGTCTCCCTCAAGACCAATGGATTTTGGACCTGCACTTCATGATGTTAACTGTGGAAGAGGAAAGCATTGTTTGACGAACAGAAACAAGTGAAGAGACAAAAGTGTCCTAACATCAGAAAAGTGACTTCCACAGGAGACGTCGTGAGTAATATACATGATGGAGCATATCAATGGCTTTGAGGAGGAACTCTGAGGGTCTGGAACCGCTTTTGGAAAGGAGAAGGAACACCAAAGCTGATGATTTTCAGTAGTCTTCCTTGATCAGTCCTGTTGTCAGGTCCATCAACCCCCTGCTCCTTGAGGGGAAGCAGAAAATCATACAGCTACAAAAATCATATGTACGCAAAATCATACAGATACAGTCTCTCCTCTGCCTTCTTGCTGGCTCATGTCCTTCCTCTCCCCAGAATCCAGGATGTTTCTCCTCTCTGTCACAGTCTTTGCTGGCACCAGAATGCTGCCTGCACTTGGTTCCAGCGGCTTTTTTCTCCTTTGTTAGACAGACTAACAGTTCATGCCATCTTTTTCTCATCAGCTTTTAGTGTGACCCATGGGAGACAGGGCAAGAGGGAAAGGGAAGAGGCAAAAAGCCAAGTTTTGTAATGCTCAAATGTAGTTTCACATGCAGGAAATGTGAGATCCTTCAGCCACAGGGCTGACAACATCACAACAGAAGCCACGCATCCTAATACAAATGTTAAACAACGTGTTTCTATGACTTAACTTTACTTCAGTCTTCCCACAAAACCACAAAGAGTAGGAGAAGAACTAACACATCCTCTTCTAGGTTTCCTTTAACAAATGTGTCAATGTGTCACTGACTGAGAAGCAATTAAAAGTGTGATGGATTGGTTTGAGAAAGACAAACTTTGTATCTGTCCTGTCCATCTAAGCCCCACAGAACCTCTCCCATGCTAAAATCTGTATGTAGAAGCATTATCTTCCACAGACATCGATCAGGATCCTGCTGGGCGAACTGGACCTGAAGCAGCAGCAGCGATCCCTGACACTATGTGTCTGCCCGAGAAATCAACAGGCTGGTTCCTCCTGCCTCCAGGGTGGAAAGGAAGAAGAGACATCTAGCAAAGCTCTGCAGAGAGGAACAATCTGCTCGCCTGGCTGCCCTTCATTGCATACGCCTCGCCGGAGGAGCACGCTTGCTGCCCTCCCCACCAGTCACATGAGGGAAGGCACAAGCCAGTCCCTGCGGTCCAGCCTTGCATGCAGTATCAACCCCAGGAGTTATTTATAGTCCCCCGGGAAGTGACAGGGGATGTGGACATGAATGGGACGGCGATTCAGACCAGATGTCCGTGAGCCCTTTCCAAGCAAGCCTGCATAAATGTGCAGCACAGCTCGCAATCAGAGCTGTGTTGTGTCAAACAACTGTGGTTACCCGAGGACCAGCGTGATAGCGTTGAGCCGGCAATGGAGCAGCGGAAAGGATTCTTGTTCACTAATTGAATAGAGGCCTCGACCAAAGGAGAACAATACGTGGCGCGGGGGTGGCGGGGCTGCATTGTGAGAGCCTCTGCGAGGAGAGGCCACTGCTGCCAGTCCCATTGTTCGGTGCTATCTCCATCTGCTCACTGGACAGACCTCCTTGCCCAGCTAGCCGTACATATCTGCATCCTGTAGCTCTGCCACCATCTTTACTAAGGGCCATGAGTCCTCACCAGCGATGCTGCTGGACCTGGGCGCTGATGAAGGTAGAGCACTTCTTCAAGCATTGGATGTTCTTGTGTTTTCAACATCGCCAGTGAATCCAAAGCTCTTACCACAGCCTTATTGTTGCTCTTACTATGAGACCAAGTTCCACAATAACTGCATTTTTCCAGTGCTGCTAAAACGGATTCACTTTGCCAGCAAGAGATTTTTTTATTTTTTTTTTAAATTTGCATGTGTTAGAATTTGTTCAATGGAATTAAGAGAGAGGTCCTCAGCTGTTGAAATCAATGCTGCTGAAGTCAACAAAGTGCATGCTCATTTGTGCAGCTGAACCCTCGACTAGAGTTTTACCAATATACAGCTGATCAACATACCATTAAACTGATCTTGAACATGAACCCAAGAGACCAGTTCCTTACTAACAACAAAAAGAAAAGAAGCATCAAATAGTGAAACAGGGAAAATGGAGGGACCCAAAGAGGGGGAAAGGGAAGCCTGCTGAAACAGAAGAGCCTGGAACCACTTTCTGAAAACAAGCCACAAACGATGCTAAAGAAACTCCCCTGACATGCAACTGTCACTAAGAGCGTTGGCTTTTTTGGTAAATCCTTAACCCTGACCTGTCTCAGCTGGTGAGCACAGGCTCTTTGGAACTGCCTGAGCTGGCACGAGGTGAGACAAGGATGAAGGCCAATTGCTCAGCTACGCTGGCTCAAGACAATGAAGGACTTTATGCATCATTCAGTTACACAAAGCCAGGATCCTGGAGTCTTTTTAAAGACCTGGCATTAAGCCCATCTGTCACACAGTTTCAGGACCTATTGGAGAGCCTAGCACTATGATGAGAGATTCTTCAGATAAAACAAGACATTTAGAAAAATGGAACTAAAAATTCAATAGAATAGAAAATGTTGCAGAGGTTTGGAAAAGTTCCATCTGCTTCATGGTCTTTTCTAAATATTCATGCAGCTCTACACTACCCTGTTTGCCAGATTCAGAAGCAGAACCTCCCTAAAAAGGCTGGTTAATTATCAGGAATATTACAAAGAAATCTGTTGTCTCCCAGCCAGTTTCCAGGTAGTAAAATTAAATTTCTAAATTTAGTTAGAAATTTATCTAAATTTATTTGATAAATTTATTATGCCTAATTTTGCTTCCCTTTTGAACTAAATCGTTTTCTTCCTTAGAGTAGCACTTGCCTGCACCCAGGTCTAGCCAGATATGACAGTTTCATCTGAGTCTTAAAATTAATTTCAAGCTGATGTCCAATACCAGAAATGTAGTTAAACAGAGTTTGAAGGAATTAAATATCTAATGCTGTTTTCAAGGTAGCAGCTTCATGTTGCATCCAAAGACTGAGGTTCCTCAATCCCTACTAGTTACATAATCTGGTTTGAAGAAACAGACAGAGGCTTGGAAAAAGGGGGTATAAATAAAGCAGCTCTCCACTTATAGTTGTTAGCTCTTCCTGTTCATGTTTAGCATTCTCATTTCTCAGAGGAAAAGATGAATTTCCCTGCTGGTGAAACAAAAAGCCCAGGCAGTGCCAAATCCAATCCCAGCAGGATCTGGAACAGGTGGCCCCAGGTGAATGCAAGGGTTCCTGGGTAAAGTCAACCAGGAAAAAAGAGTAGGAGACCCCACTGCCAGGCGATAGCAAGTTGCTCCCTTCACCTCCTGTACACAGCTGCTCATATTCCTTATTCACTTTAACCCTGACTGTCCAGATCCAAACATTTCCACCCTCTGTAGTCTGGAAAACCTAATCCTCCCTTGTAGCCTGCTAGCTCAGCACCTCAGCAATTGCCTAGAGCACTGAGCTACATGAGGCTATCATTTCTGTACTCAAGTTTTTCCTGTGTTCATTTTATGGCGGTTGCCCTTCAATTTGAGTGACATTGGTCTAGTGCTAAGAAGCAAAATGTGAGGGAAGTAAGGAGGGCTCGCAGATGGTCTGGTCCGCAAATTCAGTCTAGTCAACTTTTTCTCTTGTCCTCATTCTTCCATTTCATTTACAAGCAGAAAATGTGAAAGCCCATCTGTTCTTTCATCCTCTAGTCACATTTAGAAACAGCACTCTTCGTAATGCTTTGTGAAGTGATCATATCCCTCTTTTTTTCCTCCCCCCCCCCCCCCCCAGTTGTTTTCTCACAGATACATTATACATTCAGGGAATTTGATTACCTTTTTCCTGACCACGTGTTGCAGCAGCTGTAAACCTAAGCTGTAAAGAGGCACTCTCCAGGTACAGAGATTCAGCCTGCTTTGGAGGTGCCATGGACTGAGATCACCACTCCAGGCGGTAGGGAGCCAAGCTGAAGTGAGTGTGGGGCCAGGGGTGGACAGGCCCATCTGCACCAGCTTCTCAGCTGAGGGCAGCTGGCTGAGATGAATAAGCACTATACATTCAAAAAATGTTGTAAGGGGAACATTTTATCCCAGATGCCTGTTTACTGATGGTTTACTTCAGTCTTTTGCTGACATTACCTCTCTTTTATTTAGCAAATCAATTAATGAATGGATCTTTCCCCTGTGTAGCCCCATCAGCTCATTACACAGCATATACCACAGTTATGTTTATCCAACTTTCCCTTTCGGTCCCATTTGTACTGATACTTTCCTTCTTGGAATAACAATTATTAAACCACTTGGTGCCTTTCATGGTTAATTATTTCCTTTCTTTAACACAGTATGCTGTCAAACTGTAGGCTAGGTCTTGAACACTTCAGCACCCCCATTTTCATTTCCTCAGAGAAATAATGTTGAAAAGTCCTTATTATTACTTATGGAACTCTGTTGCATGCATTTCTTCTGCAAAGTTTCATCATCTAGCAATTTTTAATGACTATTATAAGAACATTTTCTGTCTTTTTGACCTGCCTTCCATGCAGTTGATTTCCTCAGTTTTGCTATGCTTCTCACACGTAAGTTAGCATGTTACTGGACTGAGTTCCCTATCTGAAATTGAAGCAGGTAGGATAATAGTATTAAAGAAATAACTGCTAAGAAATGTTAAAAAATTGAATATGCTCTTCAGCCCATATTTCATTACTTTTGCATATCAACAGCATTGAAAACTAATTTGTATTTACCAACACCATCCCCCTTAAAAGAAAAAGATTACTCTTTCAGAAATTCTTTATTGTATACATTTTTTCTCTACTTCAGCTCCAAATATTACAAAGAAAAAAACCCAAATCCTATCCTAAGTTATCTGTGTGTGATACAGTGCAACAGCAGATTCCTTAATTTAATACAATAGCATTGATAAGTATGGAGATGGTGTACCTGTTTTGCAGTTATGCCTAAGGCCTTGTTCCATTTTAGTTAGATAAAGTGTGTTACACTAATGTGCTTAAACCAACAAAGACTGTTTACACTTCCAAGCTGTAGGGAAAAAAATTTAGCAGTGCAGAGCACGTTTTTATAACTGCAGTCATAATAGCCCCAGATACACTTGAACTAATGTAAAAACTTGAGTAGATGTGACCCAAGTGACTGCTACTACAAAATTTTGACACCAGTGTTGCTCTATGTCATAGGAATACAGGACACACAGAGCACTGACACACAGCCTCTGAACCACGGGCCAAGGTGTAGTCCACAATGGGAAAATAAGATGATACACTTGTAAACCCACCTTACCAAAATCACACAGAAAAGGAAAAATAGGGATGAGTTTTTCAGCATTTGGAAATAACTCTAAATTCCATTCTAAGTTAGCAAGGATGATGTGCACATGTTTACTTGACATTCTTCACCTGTTACCTCTTCCCCTGCTGTGTGCTAACATTAGGCTTTCTTCTGTAGGAGTTTCATTTCTCAGGTAAGCCAGAAGATAACGAAAGGAGAAAAAAACAAAAGTGTCCCAATAGTCTATAGCCTCTTCAGCAAGACTTCAAGAGACACTATTTCTCATTACCTTTACAAAGAGGAACTTAATGGTATGCTACATCCTTCCCACGGAATAATCCCATGCCAAGGGCAAAGCTGAAGGCTGAAGAACGTCACACCCACCTCTACTTCTCTGAACAGCAGCTCTATGTACAAGCACTTTTCAAAAGGGGATTGCCTCGCATTTGCACTTCTCACCACCACATTTCTCCAGCTTCTTCATATCAAAATTTCCAAGTAGGACTTTCAACTGAAGACTCTCCCAACAGCTACTTCACTTGTCTCCACGCATTCACTTAGAAGGTGCTTAGCACCTTTGGGTTACAGAATCCTTCTGACAATGGATTCTTCTTAGTTTTATTTCACAGACCATCTCACCAAAAACAGAAGGGGAGGGGGTGAGGGCGGTGGTGAGAACCAAATAAAATAAATAAATAAATAGATAAATAAATAAACACACAAACAAATAAATTACTGCACAAAGGACAATGGGACAGGTCAACACACCAGCAGAAAATTCAGCTTTTCTGAGAGCGGTCAGCTCAGAGAGGTGCCATGTACTGGAGAGGTCATTGCAAAGGAAGAATAAATCTGGCAGCCAGTGTTTGCAGTCTCCACAGGCAAGGGGATGTCTGTCCTTCAAAGAGGGAGCTGTTTGTAAAGAATCCTGCTAATGACACCTAGGATAATCAGTGCAAACAGGTCTTTCTACTTCTAGGCTCCATGCCATGCACTCATTCAGAGGTCGGGTAGCTGAAGGCAGGGCACTTGAGGGCTTTGCTGCTTTGGGAGGCTCAGTGGGAATATACCTCAGGGATGGGTGGGTTTATGCTTAGGGAGAATGATCCAACCTCTCATTTGAGAAGTGTGAATTTAGCAAATCTAGACTCTTTGCAGTAATGTGTGTTAAGTAATGACAGGCTCTGATCCTGAATTTCTTGGGAAGTTTTCCCTCAGGCCTCTCTCAATGAGAGTGTTCCTGTGTGATAAAGAGGTGAAAACTGAATGATGGTCCACTTCTGCTGCTGAGCTTGTAAAGGGCCAGTGCAATGGAGTCATGACCTGCTTGATCGGTGTTTCCGCAATATGTGCTCCTGAAAACAGCCTCCCTTGTCCATATCCAGTGTGCAGGGTGCTGCGCAGGTTAGTCAAGCTTCTCAGTGGTACTGCATGCTCGCGTGTCTTCAGGGACAGTATTGCCTACTGATGTTCAGAGCCACGGACTGCTCTCCCCTATCACCCCATTAACACTCATCTGGCACCATTTTCTGCTAAATGGCGTGCCTGTGCTGCAGAGTTTGAGTGCTGCTAGCGGCCTCACATCAAAGAACTGTATTTGGGCACCCAAATAAAGGCTCAGAAGACTGACAGGGGATGCTGGTTGTGAGTCTCTTGAACCTTTGATGTCAGGCTATTACAGCTGAAGCTGAATAACTTTGTTTTCAGAATCAGTAAAGCATTTTAGAGCAAAGAGTGCATGGAGCAAATC